ATTAAGAAAAGTAAAACCCAGAAGAAGGAAAACAAATAGAAATTGCCAAATATTAAATAGGAAATAAATCTAAATTAATTAATATTCTAAAGATTAAGCTCATGCATCATCTTGACATGCTAATGCATAATAAAAAGCTAGAAGAGCACATCATCTTCTAAGTTTCATACTCAAATTTTGTTATAGATTTGGGTTAAGTTTGCTATAAATTCTGACATTGTGGGATTTGCTACTCCAGAAATGGAACGGGAATCTGTGAAGAACAAGAGTATACTTCTTCCAATGGCTCGGCGTGGCAACGGTTCCAAAGGAAAGAAGATTCATCTGCTCACTAACCACTTTAGAGTTAACTTCAGTCAACCAAACAATCATGATTTCTTCCATTACAGCGTGCGCTTCTTGTTTCCTTTAGTGTCCCATTTCCATGACTGATTTGAGAAACGTATTTTAAAGTGGGATTTGTCTCTTTATTTTGTTGGATACAGGTTGCTATCACATATGAAGATGGTAGTCCAGTTGAAGCCAAGGGTATTGGTAGAAAGATTCTTGAAAAAGTTCAACAGACTTATCAAACTGATTTGGGTTTCAAACACTTTGCTTATGACGGCGACAAGAATCTTTTCACTGCCGGTCCTCTTCCCGGATCCAATCTAGAATTCTCTGTTGTTCTTGAAGACATGTCTTCTAGGAGAAATGCAGGCAAAAGACTAAGGCTTTCTCACCAATCCAAGAAATTCAATGTTGCAATCAGCTTTGCTGCAAAAATCCCTATGAAAGCTATTGCAAATGCTCTTCAAGGAAAGGAAACAAACCATTTTCAAGATGCTATCAGAGTGATGGATGTTATTTTGTGCCAAAATGCAGCTCGGAAGTAAGTAAAACTTTTCTCGATATTTCTTCCATCTTGCTTAACGTTTTTGATGTTGTTCTGTTGTCATATGTCTGTTTTGCGCAGAGGTTGCCTCCTAGTTCGCCAATCTTTCTTCCACAATGATGCAAAGTACTTTACGAATATCGGTGAAGGTGTTGATTGTTGCAAAGGATTCCATTCAAGCTTCAGAACTACTCAGGGAGGCTTGTCCCTCAATATTGGTAAGTTCTTTTCTTTTAATATATGTTTTTTAGTGTGATATTAAAAAATTTCTTTGTAACATTTCGGTTTTTCTTTCATCAGATGTTTCGACTACGATGATAGTAAAACCTGGTCCTGTTGTTGGTTTTCTTATTGGAAACCAAGGTGTGAAAGATCCATTCTCTATTAACTGGAAAAAGGTATTTAGAAGAATCTCAAATGGTGTTTTAGCATATATTTGAGGTGAAGAACTTCTATTTGAAAATTTTCTGATTTTTTGTTCTTTCTGTTATATAGGCTAAAAGTACTCTCAAGAATCTTAGAGTTAAAGTCATCCCCTCAAATCAAGAATACAAGATAACCGGACTAAGTGGACTACACTGCAAAGATCAAATGTTTGTATTTGAACATATATATGTTTTAAGTTTCCTTGATTTGCTTATCGGTGATCACTTTTACTTGTGGGATTTAGGTTTACTTGGAAGAAAAAGAACCAAAACGGGGAAGTTGAGGAGGTTGAGATTACAGTGTTTGATTACTTCACCAAAATCCGTGACATCAAACTGCATTATTCAGGTGGCTTACCATGTATCAATGTTGGTAAGCCAAATCGTCCTACCTACTTTCCCATTGAGGTAAGGTTTAGTTTGTGTGTTTCTTGTTTTCTCACATTTTCATGTTTAATGGCTTATATGATAATACGTGTTTGTTTCTTTCACATGTGACAGCTCTGTGAGCTTGTATCTCTACAACGCTATACTAAAGCTCTTACAAGTTTTCAGAGGAGTAACCTTGTCAAAGAATCAAGGCAAAACCCTCATCAAAGAATGGAAGTGTTAACCAGAGTAAGATCTTTATTTTTCCACTTATCCTCTTTTTATTTGCATTTTTTATATATATTAAGTTCCATGTTGCAGGCTCTCAAGAACAGTAATTATAGTGATGACCCAATGTTGCAAGAATGTGGTGTTAGAATAGGCTCTGACTTCACTCAAGTCGAAGGTCGCTTGTTACCAACACCCAAGGTGACTCTTCTATTTCATTTTTGGTCATGGAAGGTTTGATGTTATTAATTATTATATATCTTAATCCCTTATAAGCAGCTTAAAGCTGGCAATGAACAAGACATCTATCCTAAGAATGGGCGTTGGAACTTCAATAACAAGGTCCTTAACTATTATGTCCTCTGTCTTCTCAAACAAGTTTTTTTCTCATAGTTGTTTGAAACCTTGTGACACTGATCATCAAACTTTCTTTTACAGATAGTTTTTGAGTCAGCAACAGTTACTAGATGGGCCGTTGTGAACTTCTCTGCTCGCTGTGACCCGCGCAAGATTGTTCGTGATTTGATCAGATGTGGAAATATGAAAGGAATTGTAAGCTACCCTTTCTTCAGGATCGTTGTTTACTATATAGATCACACTTGTTACAAAACCATTTCTTGTTTTTTTTTGTTTTTGTTTTTGTGTGTTCTTTGATACCAGAACGTAGATCCTCCATACAAAGTTGTCTTTGAAGAAGATCCTCAGTTTAAGGATGCACCAGGTTCTGTAAGAGTTGAAAAGATGTTTGAACGTTTAGAATCCACACTCGGTGACGTTCCTCCAAATTTCCTTCTATGCATACTCGAAAAGAAAAACTCTGATGTTTATGGTAACACTAAGCACTTAAACATTACTTGAATCATTTAGTATACTCATTTCTTTCCTCATATGGATAATTGTTGTATCCCTTAGGTCCTTGGAAAAAGAAAAATCTTGTTCAAGTTGGAATTGTGAATCAGTGTATTGCTCCTCCTCAAAACGTTAATGATCATTATCTCACAAATGTTCTCCTCAAGATAAATGCCAAGGTGATCTCTTTTTGAATCAATCTTTTAATTAGTTTCTGATATAATTATCTTATAGTTAATATCTGCCATTTCTGTATAGCTTGGTGGATTGAATTCAGTGTTGGATATGGAGCGGTCACGGGCAATGCCTTTGGTAATGAAAGTTCCTACCATCATTATTGGGATGGATGTATCTCATGGTTCTCCTGGACAGTCTGATGTACCATCCATTGCCGCGGTAACATTGATTTTTTCCTTTTAAACTTTCTTGTGTAGTATTTTTTATGTAAGCTACTGATATATCTGGAATGCATAGGTTGTGAGCTCCAGAGAATGGCCACTGATCTCAAAATACAGGGCTTGTGTGCGTACACAGTCGCGTAAAGTTGAAATGATCGATAACCTCTTTAAACCAGTCTCTGACAAAGATGATGAAGGTATCATGAGGTAATAATATTACTGGACTATTTTGTACTCTTATTAATTATCTCTGCTTTTCTGTAACAGTATATGATTTTAAGACTCAATGATGTGTTTACAGGGAGCTCTTGCTTGACTTTTACTCAAGTTCTGCAGTCAAACCCAATCACATTATTATTTTCAGGTATTCATATAATCTAAGATTAAAACAGTCTTTTGAAAGTAGTTTAATACAATTTTCTAACTCTTAACTACATTAATATATGTAGGGATGGTGTGAGTGAATCTCAGTTTAACCAAGTTCTTAATATTGAACTGGATCAGATGAAGCAAGTAAGGATTTTGGTTTTACAACTTTCAAGCTCTTAAAAATATGTAGCCTATGTTTGACCATTTTGGAGTTTAAGGATTTACTTTTGTTACATGATTAGGCGTGCAAGTTCTTGGAGGAGAAGTGGGATCCCAAGTTTACAGTGATCATAGCTCAGAAAAACCACCACACCAAGTTCTTCCAGACCAGGAGCCCTGATAATGTTCCTCCAGGTAATAATATTGATTTTGTTTGTTGGTGTTTTTGAAATGACTTGAAACCTGTTCTCTATTTACTCGCAGGAACAATAATTGATAGCAACATCTGTCACCAACACAACAACGATTTCTATCTTTGTGCTCATGCTGGAATGATTGTAAGTGAAATAGTATTATGCTCGAATCCGTTATGAATCGAACAAAAACTTAAAACACTTTTCGATGTGTTAGGGAACTACAAGGCCAACACATTACCATGTGCTGTATGACGAGATTGGATTTGACACAGATCAACTCCAAGAACTTGTGCATTCCCTATCCTATGTGTAAGCAGCAGATCACTTCAAACCTTTTTATCTGATACATTGATTCTCTGTATTGAATTAGGCAATAATCTCTTAATTCTTTGGTTTAATACTTGTAGCTACCAGCGGAGCACAACTGCAATCTCTCTTGGTAATTCTTTGGCATTTGATATCTCAGCTTTTATGTGGAATTTATCCTTGTTGTGTGATCATTATCAATAGTTTTAGATGCTGTGAGATTAGAGTTTGCTTTCGTTCATGATGACAAATGACACAACGTGTTGCGATGCATGATGTAACATCTCAAATTTTTGCAGTTGCGCCGATATGTTATGCTCATTTGGCGGCTGCACAGATGGGAACTGCGATGAAGTTTGAGGACATTTCTGAGACTTCGTCGAGCCACGGCGGGATCACCATAGCTGGAGCAGTCTCTGTGCCACCAATGCCGAAGCTGAACACCAAGGTTGCTAGTTCAATGTTCTTCTGCTGAAAGAAAACATAAGCACCATTAAATCACTTAGCTTTTCTGCTAATGAACAAACCAAAGAACAAGATTATTTCTCTCGCTCTTATGACTTTTCGTTGATTCTCTTTTTAATTGTTGGTCGGTGTTTTAGATTCTTATCGAATCGCAAATTTAAGACATATTCAGTTGCATTTTATTATTGACTAAGATGGATATGAGTTGTTTCTTGTTCCATGAACCTGAGTGAAGTTATATAACTCAATGACATAAACAACATTACCATAAAGTCAACTCACTCGATGGATAAATATGTATCTGTTGTATACGTACACTAGTATTATGCTTCTGGATCCGTAAAAATAAAAATGTTTTGAGTAAAAGAAACAACTACATGTTCTGGGATTTAAAACTATTATGGGATTTAAAATACATAAACACGAAAAGAAGAATACATCCAAAGCTGTAACTGAAGTGATAAGTGAAAGAGTTTACCTATCATAGAGTTAGGACTTAGGATCATACATATTTTTTTGAATACAGAAAAAAAAAAAAAAAAAAAAAAACAGTTATATACCCTCTCTATGGCTATTATTAACCTGAGAAAATGCATACTGAGGCTCTAGGTGGTTCGTTGTCTAACATGTCTGCTGCTGGTATCGCCACCGCCGTCAGAAAGTTGGGCCCACACGCTCTGAGATTTTGCTCCACCAGAAGTGTTACTGCCTTCCTCGTGACCAGCCACCGCCTTCAGAAGCTCAGACTGGAGGGTCACACATTCATCCTTCATCTGTTGGTAAGCGTCTGTCTCCAGTACAGCTGCAATATCCAAACACAACAGAAGATCCAATATTTCTATGGAGACCATCATACACTTTAACGGCATAGTGTATGATATTAAAACAATTTTTTAAAAATGCAATGTAGAAGCATACCTGCTAGGTTCTCAGCAGTAAATTTAAGGCAAACGTTCTTTAGTTCCTTAGCATTATATCTGTCGGCCAACGCTAAGATCTTGGCGACGGATTTGACTGATACGCCTTGGCAGATGTGAGATTCACACAACAACCTGAGCCTAATCAGGTCGTACTTGTCTGCTGCTGCTAAAACCTTTACAATCAATGTCTCGTATATTTCTGACAGCTTTAAGCGCTCAAACGTATGAGTTGTTGCAGGCTCCACATCTTCGGGAAGAGAATCTTTATACATGAATTGTAGCAAAGCCTGGATGGAACAGAGCATCAATAAAAGCACGATCTGAACTAACAGAAATAAGTAAAGAATAACCACCAATGATTTACCTTAAAAACCTTAGGTTCCAAATCATTAATAGTAACCTCTGTATTGTCTGCAGCAAACTCACTGAAAAACATAGATTTGAAAAATGGAGATCGAGCAGCCAGTACTAGTTTATGAGCTAGAAACTTCTCACCAGCAATGTCAAAAGTTACATCAGAACCTTCCATGCTATCCAGTAGAACACCAAAATGTGATCCAAGTTCTGAATCAGGGACGTGAACAGAGTGTAACTGTGGGCATTGAATTTCTGAAACCACAACTCCAACCGTACAATTGATTATCAAGCAATCGTCTTTCAGGTAGTCAGATGTCTCAAGAATGGAACGTCTGAAGAAACGCTTGTATCCCCTAATCAAACCACAAAGAAGAAAAGAGAATTACAGGAGCTTGAGTTAGCACAACTTAAGCAAAAGACAAATGTAAAGAGAAGATCAAATATATCTCTTTCAAAAAGGATTAAAGTAAAATGGAAGAATAGAAGACACAAGTTCTCCACACACTTTTATCAAGAAAACTTTTCCAATTAAGACTTAAGCTAAGGCTATGTCTGGACACACTCCGACAACTGAGTTAGCTTATAAACCTTGGTAATTATAGATTTCCCATTCAATTTTTTTCTGCGTCATGAACATTAAACCACCTACGTCTTTCTTATTGCCACAATAATCTTCTCACAAACAAGTTTTGGAATGGGGCCAAGTACCCACATCACTCATCAGTCATAGGATTGTTTACTACACTGACTATGGCTACCTGAATTCTCCAATATTCAGGGTTAGTACCATCAATATGAAAAATCATGCAGCAATAACAGAGTTCAAAATTTACATTTCTCCTTAGCAGTTCACAAGTTTTTGGTACACCTATCAGCTATGGCTGTCAGCCTGTCACTTCCAAGTAAGCCGAGGATTCATCATTAGAGAAACTGAACTCTGAGCAAAATCTCTCTGGTAATACCCTAATAAGATTACCATGATGTATCTTGTAATCCATGTGATCATTTTCACATTTTCTCCTCTTTATTTTACCTCACAGCTAGTAAACAGATATCTACCATAGAAGCTAGATGAGGGAATGACGAGTCAGATCAAGCTCATGGTTAATCCTAATACAAAGTACTGAAAACCCTAATCAAAAGTAGTTCTTCTTCACCAGAAATGATCAAAGATGCATCAATTTAGAAAACTAAAGAAAGCCAATACAAACGAACTGATTGAAATCAAGAAAAACCAACTAGGTGAAACAATCGTACCACATGCTTCCTCTGTATTTGAGTGTATAAGGTCCACCATCAAGTGACCGCTCAAAATGGCTATGAACCTTGTGTTTCCCCTTTCCACTTTGGTCAACAAGAGCTAGCTCAAAAAGCGCCCTAACTTCAGTTCCTTCACTCGCCAATGCGATAAAAACAGAGACGTACGACGAATTATCCTCCGGATTCTTACCGTCCGGGTAGAAGAAAATCCCCCACTGATAACCTCCGACGGAAAAATTATCACTCGCTATGTGCTTCCCTATACCCATCCCTTTCGCTAAACTGTATCCTTGAATCACGAATTGATGTGACCCGTTCACCGTCTGCGTCACCGATTTTGAACTCGTCGGAGATAAAACCCGATCCGGATTCGATCCCGGAATCAATGATCCAGACATCTCCCTTGAGATTCGAAGCTAATCTTGAGGAATCTGATCAAAGAAGACAAGAAATTTCCCCTTTGATTTCCAGAAACAAGATTCTAGGGTTCTGAATTTTGGATTTTGGTTTTGAGACCGTTTAAAGAGAATCGGAAGAGGGAAGTGAAAACTGAAACGTCTCAAATCTTCTAAACTTGCCAATTTTATTAGAGTTACAGTAATTGGGTGAGAGACAACCCATCTCAACCTATTTAGTTTTTGGGCATTTTGTTTCAATGTATATAACAAAGAAATTTTTAGCCCAAATCTTTATTCTCAAACTAATCATACGTCCTTCAAATCTCGTTTTTGTTTTAATTTTCTGATTTTTGGGTATTTATTTTTCTCTCATGTTCATCTCTTTCTCTTTTTCACTTTTTCTTTTTCTCTCTCAACTCTGTTCTTCATTCATTCAAACCGAACAAAAAAACAGCGGTGTATACTATTTACATTATCATACTAGAAAATTAAATAGTAAATCTATTCGTCGGAAGAGACAACTTTCATGATACAAATAATGATCTACAACAATTTTTGGACCTCCACATATGGACTTACAAAGCGTAGATGCAGATATAAGAAAATTTATGGAGATCGGTCAAGAAATTTAGATCGTTAAACTAATAATAACAAAAAAAAAAAATTAGGTGAAAAATAAGAAGACGATGAAGGAACATAACCTATGTATGAAATAAATCGAAACATATATGTTTTCTTGGGAGATTGAATCCTTTAAAATGAGAGAACCTGTGAGATTGAATCTTTTAAAATGAGAGAAGCAAACATTCATTTTTTACATTTCGTAGCAACATTCCTTTGGAGATGGACGATACAAGGCTCGTGTGTTTTTTTTTGGGTAAACAATTAAACATGTCCCAATTAGTTAAGGAATTTATAGTTATCTATAAATTTAGCTACATGTCCATACATTTTCATATAGTTATATATCGAACTATATAGTGCTAAATTTTTTAATAGATATCTACGCAATTAGGTTAGTGGTTTAAAAATTTTAGTTTTTTTCCATACGTTTTTGTTATAAATTCAAATTAAAGCTGATCATATTTAATAACTTACACTTCGTTCTATTTATTACCACGTAAAAGTCAATTCAACTGTTGAATATTTATTAAATGTCAGATTTTTTTTCTTTCCTCCTCTACGCGCAGCAACAAAATCAAACCCACATACATTGATTTTTTTTTTTGTAATAACCGACAAAACCAAACTCATTTTCAACCTTTCCTAGGACGTTGTGAGAGACAAACATCCATAATGTCTATTTCCTAATTTCGGAGGTGATTGGTAAGCACTTTTAAGGCTTTAGAAAAGTTTTAAAGTTTTTATTTTGCCAATCAAATTTTTTTGGCTTTAAAATTCAAAATCCTTCTTTTTTTCTTTACTCTTTGAATTCACTTTTTTTCTAAAGCCACGTAACCCTGACTTTAAAAGTAAAAATAATAAAAATTAATAATTTTCCTTAGTTTCTTTTCCCCGTCTATGAAAACCTCTAATAAAATTCATTGGAAACTTAATCTTAAAAAAGTATTAACTGATTTACAATTAATTTTTTTTTTCTGTTCTTTTAAGATCTATTTATGTATATAAAAAAATATCTGATATTACATTGATACAAAAATGGAGAAATATGAATGTATAAAACTTTTCATACACAATTTGGATTTATATTCATTGTAATTTATTTTATTTAAAACCATAATTTTTACAACCACAATTTCTACAGTTTTGTTGTTACTAATCATATTTTAACTGTTAAAATCTCTAAAGTTAAAATGTCTGCAGTCAAAGTTTCTATAGCCAAAGTCTTTACATCAAAAGTCTTTACAACCGAAAGTAACAGTCATCTCATTACCAATCGGCCCTTTATATCCCATTTTTACCTCTGCGCAAATTTATTTTATTAATGACGAGTTAAAAAGAGTGCTTGGTTATAGGTTTAAACTTATTCTCCTAATATTATTTGCCATATCTAATCCGATTGCCAAACAAGCGGTCAACGTTGCTCGAATTTCAAGAGTGGCCATCGTCTCTCTCTATCAAACAGCGAACGAGAAAATGGATGGCCATGAAGGTTGTTGTAGCGGCGGCGGCGGAAAGACGGAGATGATACCGACGGAGGAAGCTCTGAGGATAGTACTCGGCGTCTCTAAGCGTCTTCCTCCGGTAATCGTATCGCTGTATGAAGCACTTGGGAAAGTGTTGGCGGAGGATATTCGAGCTCCTGATCCTCTACCTCCATATCCTGCTTCCGTTAAGGTGAATAACAACATTCAACCTATGATATAATCATATTCTGATAGAGTTTGACAAATAGGATCAATCTAAGCTGGTGATGAGTACTACAGCGAATACTTGAATAACTTGGCATTATCGTTGTTTAGGATGGGTACGCTGTTGTTGCTTCAGATGGTCCTGGAGAATATCCGGTGATTACTGAATCAAGAGCTGGGAATGATGGACTGGGTGTGACTGTTACTCCTGGAACTGTGGCTTATGTAACTACTGGTGGTGAGTCTTTCGAAAACTCTCTTACTAATGATTTGTGTCACTTGAAAACTTTGTACCTGCCTTTCAGAGTATTTGAAAGTGCTTCTTATTTTCTCTTCTTACTCACTCCTTGCTATAAATTTCGATTTGGTAGTGTCTGAAAACTAGATGTTTCTTTGAACTCAGCGTATTGTTCTCTTTGATTTGTTTCTCTTTTAGGACCTATACCTGATGGTGCAGATGCAGTTGTCCAAGTTGAGGACACTAAAGTAATTGGAGACGTCTCAACTGAATCAAAAAGAGTAAAAATACTGATTCAAACCAAGAAAGGCACTGACATCCGTAGAGTGGTATGCTTTCTTCTTTCTCGTTTACATAGCCAGTATTGTACTTGATATCTTTGATTTCTTTTATCTCTGGCTGTTTGCTAAATAATTGAAATCTCATACTTTTCTTTATAATGTAATGACATTTGTTGATCTAAGAAAATTATTAGGATGCATGCCAGACCGGTAGATATTGTAAATGGATTTTGTTGCTATGTCTTTTGTTGGGTAAGTTATTGAGACAAATGGAAGATGCCGGGCTAGTTTTGGATATGTACTTGAATTGTCGGACATCATCCTGTTTTTTGTTATAATTTAGGTTTGTATTTGCAATGTTCCTTAGAGAAAGACTCTTGTGGGGCTTAGAATAAGCATGCATGAGGTCATCGCTAGAAGACCTGGGGATAGATAAAGCATGTTTCCCTAGTATTAAACCATCAAATCTAACAAGTTGATGAAAAAGCAGCTTTTTTCAGCTGTTTGGAGGGGATACATCGTTATATGTTCATTATTGTTTGACTTGGAGGATTTCATAAGATCCATTCAATCATTATATGTTCATTATATGCTAGGGTTGTGATATTGAGAAAGATGCAACTGTACTAAAAACTGGAGAAAGAATTGGTGCCTCAGAAATTGGCTTGCTAGCAACCGCAGGAGTAACAATGGTGAAGGTATTGCTGTATATCAGTTTTCTCTTAGCAGAGTTACTAGAAGATAAGTCCAAAAAAAGTAAGGAAAAATAAAACTTTCCTGTAGGTATATCCTATGCCAACAGTTGCTATTCTCTCTACTGGGGACGAACTTGTCGAGCCGACAGCCGGGACTTTAGGTCGTGGGCAGGTATTATGCAGAATTAAGACTCCTGATGCATATGAAAGTTATATCTGTATAATAATTGCAAATAGGTATTGGACCTTATATTATCTTTAGAGGCTAAACAATGAGCTCTCTGCAGATTAGAGACTCAAATCGAGCGATGTTAGTGGCAGCAGTGATGCAGCACCAATGCAAAGTTGTTGACCTTGGAATTGTTAGAGATGATAAAAAAGAACTTGAGAGAGTTTTGGACGAGGCCATATCCTCTGGAGTTGATATTATTTTAACTTCTGGTGGTGTCTCAATGGGAGACAGGGATTTTGTCAAGCCATTGCTCGAAAAGAAAGGGAAAGTATATTTCAGCAAGGTAAATAAGCAGTAGAAGTTTCCTGAATCTTCTCCCTGCTGTTTTTTTTTTTTCTCTGCTTTAAAGCAGAAGAGTTGGCAACTTAAGCTCAGCAATTTGACAATGTTTAGTTTGGTATATAGAATGAACTAAGAAGATCTCATATTTTTCGTTTGGCTGCAGGTATTAATGAAGCCCGGGAAACCTTTGACGTTCGCCGAGATTAGTGCAAAACCAACTGAAAGTATGCTGGGGAAAACAGTCCTTGCATTTGGATTACCAGGAAATCCTGTGAGCTGTTTGGTTTGTTTCAATATCTTTGTTGTGCCTACAATCCGCCAGCTTGCAGGATGGACAAGCCCCCATCCACTGAGGTAAGTGAAGTTTGCATTATACTTGTTTCTCCATATCAATTCATTATAAAATGATCGTCAAGAAAGGGTAGATTACCGTCTAATCTCTGCGCAGAGTGCGAGCTCGACTTCAGGAGCCCATAAAGTCCGATCCCATCCGTCCCGAGTTTCATCGGGCCATAATCAAATGGAAAGACAACGATGGATCAGGAACTCCCGGGTGAGCCTGTTCATAATTATGTCTGGTTTTGGGTCAAAAACTTAGCTGGATCTTCCTAGATTTTCTTGGAAGTTCTAGTATGCATTACTATCTTAAATGGGCTAATTGGATATACCTGGTTGTCAGATTTGTTGCTGAGAGCACTGGACATCAGATGAGCAGTCGGCTTTTAAGTATGAGATCGGCTAATGCTTTGTTGGAGTTGCCTGCTACGAGCAATGTACTTTCTGCTGGAACTTCTGTATCAGCTGTAATTGTTTCTGATATTAGTGGCTTTTCAATAGACAAGAAAGCCTCATTATCAGAACCAGGATCTATTCGGAAAGAAAAAAAATACGATGAAGAACCTGGCCCTGAGTATAAAGTGGCTATTCTTACCGTAAGTGATACTGTCTCAGCTGGGGCTGGACCTGATCGAAGGTATGATTACTGTTAAACTTTATTGAATGTCCCGTTGCAAATCTGGGTGAATTGAGTTATGTAAGAATGTTTGAAGATATACACACTTTTTATTTGCATCTTTACTAGGTTAAGACTTAAGACTGCATAACCACTGTTAGAAGATATGGAAATGGCAACACTTAGTTTATCTTTGTCCAGGAATACATTGATTTTGATGAAGTTCTTAAACATATTTGTCCCGTATGTCTTACCTTCTGATAACTGCGACAGTGGCTAGTTGATGGGTATATTAAATTTATGCTTGTGAGTATAA